AAGCCCTCGCTCCTGCCTGCACACCTGAGTCATCGCTGGAGCCCGTTGATTCCCACCCCCCCACCCCCACCCCCCAGTGAGGAGGGCCTGTCCGAGAGCTGAGGGCACTCACCTTGCAGGACAGCAAGGGAGGTGGAGGCCAGGCTGGCCAGCAGCAGGATGGCGAGGAGTTTCATGGTGGAGCTGCTGCAGGCCCGCTCTTCCCGGGGAGGCTGCGTGGAGGTGCGGAGGAGGCGGCTGGCAGGGGCTGTATTTATTCTGGGGGTATGCGTGGGCTCTGGGGAAGCTGGCTCAGGATTGGACCGGGGAGTTTCCCATTCTGAAAGCATTTGCTTTTGGGAACCGGAGCTTCTGAGAAACCAGTTACCAGGAATGTAGGGCCCCCAGCTTTCCCCAGGCTGGACTTGTGCCAAGGTGTGCCAGCCCCAGGCTCCATCCCTGCAAGTCCTTGGAACAACTTCCCAGGCGAGTGGTCCCTCCTGCAAGTCACTCATGACTACTGTTGTCTCACTTTTATTTGTGTGATCATTTGATTGTATCCGTCTCCCATATCTCTGCTTCCATGGTGGTTGGATTGTATATTTTTCTTGCACCTTGCAAGTGGCTGGCGCATGGGAAATACTAGTGAGGTGATGAATCAGGGTCAAGCTGTCTTCTAGGGTGCATGTAAAACTCACCACTGGTTCAGGAACCAAGGAGAGAGGCAGGTATGAGATTCTGACTGTATGCTGGGCTCTGCTCACGAGCTATGGGTGGGAGGTACATGCTCTTTACCACGCAAAGAAACTGATGTTCATAGAGATGAGAGGACATGTGCGAGGTCACATAGCCAGGTAGGGTTGGACCTAGGTCAGTCTAACTCCATCGCCAGGGCCCAGGGCTTTAGAAGGAGCTCAAGAGGGAGCAGTGGGATGCATGTTCTGGGAGCCCTCTAGAGAGCAGGGCAGGGGGAGGGCCCAAGGCTCAGGCCCTGGTCTTGGACCTGGGATCTGAACTCGTTGATCTGCTGTGTCCTTGTCCAGCTGGAAGCCTGGATGATCTCTCGGAAAACTCTGTTTTGCATCAGCTCCAGGAAGGAGAGGGCCGCTGTGTCCCGAGGCTGAGCCTGGTGTCCTCAGCGGGGAGCAGGGCTTGTTGTGTGTGTGGGCGGCCTGGAGGGGGCCGGGTCCTGCCTCCAGCCCACAGAGGAGGCTACGCTGTGCCTGTCAACATGAGGTGCTCCCTCCACTGCCCAGGGAGGGAGCAAGGGGAGAGCCCTGGGGTCTGGCAGGTGCACAGCTCTTTCGCAGGGTGAGGTGGTGAGGTGAAGGAAGTTTGTCTGGGCTGCCTCCCACTTGTGCTTCCTCACCGATTTCTCTCTCTCTCCAGAGACCTCCCCTCTCGCAGCCGGGGGAGGAACGGGGACAGATGCGATGTTCACAGCTGGTCCCTGGGGGCAGGGTTTCAGGTGTGCAGGCTTCTGTTCGTTTTCTTTCTTAAGATTTACTTATTTATTTGAAAGGTAGAGGTACAGATGAGAGGGAGAGGGAGAGGGAGAGGAAGAGGGAGAGGGAGAGGTGTCTTCCATCTGTCAGTTCACTTCCCAAATGGCTGCAACAGCCAGCGCTGAGCCAGGCAGAAGCCAGGAGCCAGGAGCTTCCTCTGGGTCTCCCATGTGGGTGCAGGGGCCCAAGCACTTGGTCCGTCTTCTGCTGCTTCCTCAGGTGCATTTGCAGGGAGCTGGATTGGAAGTGGAGCAGCCAGGACTCGAACCGGTGCCCATAGGGGACACTGGCATTTTAGGCAGTGGCTTTACCCGCTATGCCATAGTGCTGGCCCCTTGGAGGCTTTTTCTAATATACCTAACCATCAACAGGCGGAGGTCCCCTCTCCTCCTGATGATGCTGTCTTAGTGTTTCACAGCTCTTCTGTCCTGCAGTCTGTCTACACTGCAGCCTGCCCTCTGTGCTAATGCTAGAGGGATCTCCCGAGGTTTACCCCATTTCTTTGTTCCAAAACCTTGGTAACCTGGTCCTCTTACCTGCCCCACCTCATTTTTTAACTCCATGCAGCACTCCCTACTCGCGAACGTGTTATACAGATGGTCTCCAGATGATGCTAATTTTGGCTTGGGGTTTTTTTTTGAGCTTTGAATTTTGGCTTTTTTCGGGGCTAACGATTCGTGGTACAATGCTCTCTCGGGACGCAGGGCAGCAGCAGCGAGCCGCAGTGAAAACGGAGATCACCAGGGTCAACAGCCGGCAGGCCGTAGTGTGCTGTGTCCCCAACCTCGCATATTTGCTAGGGGTTATGCATATCCAGTCTGTTCGAATTTATTTGGGGGAGCACACACGCACACAGGGAGAGAGGGAGAGAGGGAGAGAGGGAGAGAGGGAGAGAGGGAGAGAGAGAGAGAGAACACTCCTATCCACCAGGGCTGGGCTGGAGCCGGGAATCAGGAGCCCAAGCCAGGTCTCCCACATGGGTGGCAGCCACCCAGTCACATGAGCCAGCATCACTGCCTCTCAGGGTCCATGTGGGCAGGAAGCTAGGATCAGCAGCGGCAGCTGGGAATCGAATGTGATGTGGGCCGTGGGAGTCTTAACTGCTGGGCTACAGGCTTGCTCCCTCTTCAGTATACTTTGACTTAATGATACCTTCATTTGCGATGGATTTGTCAGGATGTAAGCCCATCACGGGTTGAGGAGCTTCTGCTCCAGTTCACGCTGATCCTGGGTCACCAGTGCTCTGCCCTCTCCATCTGCTGCTCCAGCCCCGGTGTCACCTCCTCCCCGGAGAGAGCTCACCCCCTCACCTCCCCTGGTTCACCACGTCACCTTTGGTTCTACAGTACGTTGTTTATCTCTGCAGCTTCTCACCGTGGAGTGTAGCTATCCGTCTTGAAATCTATTGCTCTCACTGGTCGATTACCGTTTCGAGAACAGGAACCTCAGTGTACTTAATTCATTTAGCATAGACCTCAACACTTGCTAAGTACTCCAGACTAGTTTTGTTCAATGACTTAATTTGCCCATTGAAAGCTGGCCCCTGGGGATGTTTGACCAAAGAAATATCTACGGGGTGTGTGTGTGTGTGTGTGTGTGTGTGTGTGTGTGTGTTTGATATCTGCGAAGCCTTCCCCTTCAACAAATAAATACTTCAACAAGTGTACTGAATGCTTGCCACACTCGTCTACCAGTGGGCGTGGGAGCTCCAGTGCTGAGCACAACACACCTGCTTCCTGCTCTCACAGGTGAGGTTGCCAGAGAAAGGGAAGTCGGCCAGTCTGGTGTGGATTTCAGGTAAACGGTGGAGATATTTCTAGCGTGAGGATGTCTCTAATCCTGCACAAGACACAAGTATGTCTCCAATCTATCTGAAATCATCTTGAGCTGTGTGTTCTGTGCGTAATGGCCAAATCCCACCCCCAAGGCTCCAGACCTGGCTCAGGCTACCCTGAGCCGCAGTGAGCTTTTCCACATGCACTCTACCTGTGTGCTCAGAGACACAGGTGGAGGAGGAAGGTGACTGCCTATTGTTAGGGGAGTTTATTGCAAAGGGAGTTTATTTATTTTTTTCTTTCAGGAGCTTTTGGCTTAGGGTTCAGGACCTGGTCAGGCCCGAGTTCTAAGATGGAGGCCTAGTCTAAAATAGCTGCACCTTGATCCAGGCTCAGGTTCTTCACCTGCTCAGAGAGAGAGAGAGAGACAGACAGACAGACAGAGAGACAGAGGGAGAGAGACAGAGAGAGAGAGAGAGAGAGAGAGAGAGAGAAACTGGGAGAAGTAAGCCCAGTAGAGGAGGAGAGGAGGAAGCAGAGAGAGACCTGGGGCGTGGGTGACTCCCGGAGCAGCTGGAGGCTCCGCCTGCTGTGTTTGAACCTGCCCTTGTCCAGCGGCCTGCTGACACGGTTTCTGATCTCCCTGCTTTCCCTCTGTCACTTGCTATAACCTGAGTGAGCCTTGCAAACCTGAAAAAGCCAGTTCATAAAAAAACAATTAGCTTTCAGACAGGACACCTGCACCCGAGTCTCTGAGCACGCGGAGGCCCTGTGAGTGTGTGGAGGCCCTGTGGGCCCGCGCAGGCCCTGGCCTGATCCACTGAAGCAAGGTAGAGGTCCTTGCAAGGGTTCTGCAAGGGTCCCAAGGGGTCTTTTTTATAAAATTAAAAAATGTACTTAAGAGCCAGAGAGAGAGAGAGAGAGAGAGAGAGAGAGAGAGAGAGACTGAACTCCTATCTACTGTTTTATTCCCAAATCCCTGTTAATGGCCAGAGCTTCCTGGGCCAGGCTGAAGCTGGAATCCAGGACTCAACCAGGTCTCCCACATGGTGGCAGGGACCCAAGTACTGGTGCCATCACGGCTGCCTCCCAGGGTGCACATTACCAGGAAGCTGGAATTAACAGTGGAGCTGAGACTCAAACCCAGGCCCTCGGCCAGGGGCCATCTTCACCTAGAGGCCGAACGCCGGCCCCAGATGCGGCCACTTTGGAAGAGTGCGGCGAGCTCACTGTGCTGAGTGTCCCCTGCTGAGGGTTCGTCTGCGGCTCCTCAGGTCCTGCATTACTGTGCTCTCCACATTGCAGCCATCAGGCGGAAGACAGCTGCACGTTTTCCCGTCACTGTGACACTGCGATCACCGATCAACGTCACGTCTGCCAGCTTTCTCCACCCAGAAGGGACTCTTTCTCTGCTTTGTAATAAACACGTGTTTTGTGGGCAGGTCCTTTGAGGCTGTGTAATGTCCTCTTCCTCATTGAACTTCACCTGTTAGAGGCACTCATTGACGTGCCTTGGCTACATTAACGATTGCTGTGATGATTGCCAGAGAGTAATTTTCTGCTTCTACTTGCATAACCTGGCATTCTGCCTTAAGGAAAACTCTTCTCACATCCCCGTTTATTTACTCATTCATTTATATACATAAATGATGTGTATCAGAACGGACTCACCGTTCCTATTTATTCCATGAATTATCATACTCTATTTTTCTTTATATTATCATCTTTTTTTTTTTTTTTTGACAGGCAGAGTGGACAGTGAGAGAGAGAGACAGAGAGAGAAAGGTCTTCCTTTTGCTGTTGGTTCACCCTCCAATGGCCGCCGCTGCAGCCGGCACACCGCGCTGATCCGATGGCAGGAGCCAGGAGCCAGGTGCTTTTCCTGGTCTCCCATGGGGTGCAGGGCCCAAGCACCTGGGCCATCCTCCACTGCACTCCCTGGCCATAGCAGAGAGCTGGCCTGGAAGAGGGGCAACCGGGACAGAATCCGGCGCCCCAACCGGGACTAGAACCCGGTGTGCCGGCGCCGCAAGGTGGAGGATTAGCCTATTGAGCCACGGCGCCGGCCCTATATTATCATCTTTTACAATTTCTTTTCCATTGAATTTGATTAGTCTGGGACCATCTGAACGTATTGGGATTAGTCTAGCCTTCTTGTTAGCTTCTGTATTTTATTTTATTTATTTATTTTTTTTTGACAGGCAGAGTGGACAGTGAGAGAGAGAGACAGAGAGAAAAGGTCTTCCTTTGCCATTGGTTCACCCTCCAATGGCCGCCGCGGCCGGCGCACTGCGTCGATCCGGTGGCAGGAGCCAGGAGCCAGGTGCTTTTCCTGGTCTCCCATGGGATGCAGGGCCCAAGCACCTGGGCCATCCTCCACTGCACTCCCGGGCCACAGCAGAGGGCTGGCCTGGAAGAGGGGCAACCGGGACAGAATCCGGCGCCCCGACTGGGACTAGAACCCGGTGTGCCGGCGCCGCTAGGCGGAAGATTAGCCTAGTGAGCCGCGGCGCCGGCCCAACTTCTGTATTCTTTTGAAACATCTCCATCCTTCATCAGAAGCTTTTAAAATTTTTGACTCTACAAAGCATTCCAGATTCACCCTGCACTTGCTCTGCCCTGGCCCTGGGATCAGCCATTGCTCCAAGGATTGCTGCTCTCTTAATACTGTTTGGAAGTGAAGATACAGGCTCCACGTGTGCTCCTTGGACTTGGATGCACTGCTTCCAGGCCTCTCAGTGGTCAAGCTAAGAAGTGTATGTATTATATATGTATACATTTGCATTCCTGCAAATAAACCATAACACACGTTTACATCTATACGTTATCTCTGCATCTAGTTAAATGCATCGAAAACTATTAGGAGTTCCCACGATTACCTCCAATTCCAGTGGAACACCACAGATGGGGTTCAGGCTCAGTCACCCTGCACAATGTCAGATCCCTTTGGCCTGTACAATCTCCATCTCTCCACCCTGCTTAGCTCTGACGCCTCATACTAGGGTACACATCTCCCCGCCCCCCAGCAGATGGCCTTCCCTTCTCCAGTCCCACACCCTCTCCAGCTTTCTTGCAAGCCTTCCTTGCTCTGTCCTACCTTCTGGAGTTTTCTTTTTCTTTCGCTTTTTTTAAAATCATTTTTTAAAAAAATATTTCTTTATTTGAAAGGCAGAGTTACAGAGAGGCAGAGGCAGAGAGAAAGAGAGAGGTCCTCCATCCATGGGTTCACCCCCCAGATGGCCGTAGTATCGGAGCTGTGCCAATCTGAAGCCAGGAGCCAGGGGCTTCTTCCAGGTCTCCCACATGGGTGCAGGGGCCCAAGGACTTGGGCCATCCTTCATTGCTTTCTCAGGCCACAGCAGAGAGCTAGATTGGCAGTGGAGCAGCCAGGACTCGAACCAGAGCCCATATGGTATGCCGGCACTGCAGGCAATGTTTTACGTGCTACGCCACAGCGCCAGCTCCCACCACTGGTGTTTTCACTGAGTTACTCAGGAAGGCAGCAGTGTAGGCAGGCAAGGAAAACCACACACACACTTTATGTATCTTTGAATCCATTCTTTATGGTTTTTGCTTTATGATCCAATCTAGGACTCTCTTGCTTTCAGGACATATACGGCTCAATAGGCTAATCCCTCCGCCTTTGGCGCCGGCACACCGGGTTCTAGTGTGGATTCTGGCATCTCCAAGCTTGACTGAAGCTGTGACTCCTCACTGTTTGCCTTGTCACCTGTGGATCTGGCATCTCCAAGCCCAACTGCAACCTGGCGCCTTTTGATTGGTGCACTCTGCCTGGGTAGCAGCTGAAATTCCTCCTGCAAGACGGTGCCTCACCTCCTCGTGGGCACTGGAGCTCTGCTTTCCTTTGGCATAGTTCCTCCGTCCCTGCACTCCCCACTATGAAACTCCTGGTTCTCCTGGCCCTCCTTGCTCTGTCTACCATGCCGGTGTCTGCTCGTAAGTAAAGATGTTTCCTGGTTTAAACCTCAGAGGAGCATCACATAGAATTCTCCCTCTAGCAGATTTGTCTTTGGGAAACACAGAGCTTTTGTAGTCAGCCCCATTAGTTCTGGCTCTTTTTTTTTTTTTTTTTTTTTTTTTTGTCTAACAACTCATAAGATAGTTGACTCAACATTGGAGATTTTCCTAATCAGTGGAGCCCTTGAATTCAAACCTTCCCGTCAGTTGGTGTACTCCAAGGAAACCAGCCAGTTTCTCGTGTCAGCAAGATTCTGTTGAAGAATGTCATTAGCATTATTTTCAGAAATTTTACCATATATATCTTATGTGGTTCTTGCAGGGGGAGGGCGGGGGGGGGGGCGTCTGTTATGTGTAATTCTGCCTCCTCTTAATTGTGAGTCCTAGTACGACTTCAGATTCCCCTTTCTTCCTCCTGCAAGCTGGCCTTCTCTTCACCTCCCACTCTTCTTCTTTTCCATTTAGAGGAAGAGAGCTCCCTCACTACTGTGAACTACGTTAAAGGTAAGTCTGAATCTGCACTTCCCCCACTCCTGCTAAGGGACACTTGCCAACTCCGCATTCCTCTAGAACGGTTTACTTTTTTTTTTTTTTTTTTTGACAGGCAGAGTGGACAGTGAGAGAGAGACAGAGAGAAAGGTCTTCCTTTTGCCGTTGGTTCACCCTCCAATGGCCGCCACGGCTGGCGCGCTGCGGCCGGCGCACCGCGCTGATCCGATGGCAGGAGCCAGGTACTGGTCTCCCATGGGGTGCAGGGCCCAAGCACCTGGGCCATCCTCCACTGCATTCCCTGGCCACAGCAGAGAGCTGGCCTGGAAGAGGGGCAACCAGGACAGAATCCGGTGCCCCGACCGGGACTAGAACCCGGTGTGCTGGCGCCGCAAGGTGGAGGATTAGCCTAGTGAGCCGCGGCGCTGGCCTGGTGCTAATTTTATATCCCTAATGCTATCCTTTATTTTGACAATTTTTTTACTGCTTATATATTCACTATATGGGCTGCGTTTCTTTCTTTTTTTTTTTTATGTATTTTTCTGACAATAGAACAGATTTAACGTTTGGTGGTTGATTTCATTTGGGAAATGCCCAAAGGCCACTGAGAGTCAGGTGTGAAGCATCAGGAGACAGAACCAGAGCTAGGGTGCTGTTCCCACCAGAGGGACTCGTGCATGAGGCTGGGTATGTGTAGCAGGGCTAAGGCATTCTGGGCTCTGGGCAGGATGTGACTGGCCAAGGGCCTGGGCCAGCACGCTCTGTGCCTCCTGGCACCCCAGGCAGGCCTTGTCTCCCCACGTGCACTCAGGGCCCGCCCCACAGGACACAGGCACACACACACGGAGATGGATGCTCTCAGTTTAATAGTTTAGGGCCATGAGGCTTGGAGTCCAGTGACGGCTGTTTTTCCCGTAAGGAAATTCCACCTAGAGGAAAGCCAAGATGAGGATGTGGCTGCAGAGCCACAGGCACCTGCTCTACCCTCTGTCCTCCAACTCCGTCTTGTGCTGTCCACACTCACGGAGCTCCCAATGGGCTTTCACGGGAGGCAGAGCAGAGCAATGGAGCTTCGAGTCACTGCGGGCTAAAGGACCCACCCTCTTCCCCCACCTTGGAAGGAGACGATGCGGGGAGGGGGCAAGGAAACAGGTTCCACAGAGGGCTATTTGGGGGTTAGACTCCAGAAAGAACCGGTCTAGTAGTAGACAGCAATGGCAGTCGGAATCTGGATGAGAAGTTGAACTCGTTTGGAAGCACAAAGAGAGCGAAGCCCCTTCAGCAGGCAGGGGCTGTGTCTCCCGCGTGGGGTGGGGCCGAGGCGAGTGTTTCCCCACCTCCCACCCCTTTCCCACCAAGGCCTGCCACAGGATGCACTCACCCGCAGTTGGTTTCTTCTTGCCTTCAACTCACCCGAGCAGAACCTTGAACTTATTTTTTAAGCCATCCACTAATTGGGGGGGGGGGGCAAAACAATCATCATCAGAAGAAAAGCCACAGCACTTGAAGAGACCTCCCCCAAGACCCCATCCTTATTCAGATTCCTAAAGTGGGGACGTTTTTTGCTGAGGGACTTACAGTCACTAAGGGGAAGGGGCGTGGGCCAGGTGACAAACCATGCATGGTGTAGGCACTAAGACCTGCAATTGTAGAAACCCTGTGCATGTGTGCATGTGTGCGTGTGTGTGCATAAAATTTTATTTACTTATTTGAAAAGCAGAGTAACAGACAGAGGGAGGGAGAGACAGAGAGATAGATGAGAGATGTCCCATTTGTTGGTTCACTCTCCAAATGGTCGCTATGGTTGGGGCTGGGCCAGGCCTTCCAAGACTTGAACAGGCACTCATATGGGATGCTGGTGTTGGCTTAATCTGCTGCGCCACAACCCACAGACAGCCCTGCACTTCTGTGTTCAGGTGGCCAGGAATGTTTGCTTCTCCTGGACTCGTCTCTATGGGTGGAGCTGTCACATGGGCCAGCTGCCAGAGATGTCCTTACGCTGTTGATCTGGTGTCGAGACAAGAGACTTACGAAAGGAGCCAGATTTCGCTGGGGTGATACTGCTTGTCGCCTGGGTCGCTGCCGAAGTGGCCTGGGTCGCTGCCGGTGTCTCCTGGGCAGGTGCAGGCGTCTCCTGGGTGGCTGTGGTTGTCCATTCAGAATTTGAACACACACACATATTTATTGGTTTTTAGCAAAGTGTTTTTTCTTCTCCTTTGGCCCGAGTGCAGAGCTGTAGGCTTCCTAATATACTTTGGGTGCCAGGATGTGGAAGGGACACGGTGGAGACTTCCACATCCTGTCGCTCGTGGAGCGCCATGGGCAGGGTTAGGAAGGAGCTGGGCCAGGCTGTGCTGAGAATCAGGGGGCGCTTCAACGGAAGGCTGAGCCTGGAAGGTGCGCTCCGTGTGTGGGAGGGGGGGCCGGGAGGATGTTCTCAAGGCGCTTCCCTGGGGGCAGGGAGGGAGTCTGCAAGAGCTGGGGGTGAGGCAGGTGCGGGACAGGTGCATGGGGGGACATGAAGGCGGCTCATGGAAAATGGAGCTGGGAAGTGAGGTCTGAGGCCAGATGAGGTGTCTCCGGATGAAGCAGCAGGGACCTAGGGGAGGTGCGCGGGTGGCAGGGCCCCAAGAACTCAGGCCATCTTCTGCTGCCTTCCCAGGCGCGCCACCAAGGAGCCAGATAGAAGGTGGAGCAGCCGAGACTCGAACCGGCGCTCTGCTGTGGGATGCTGGTGACCCTGCAGCAGGTCGACCTGCAGCACCCTCCACAACGCTGGGCCCCACGCTCCCTTGTTTGGTGGCGCATTCCCTGTGCGCCCCCATTGCCACCCAGCATCCCCTCCCCCGCTGCTTCTCCTGCCTCCACTCTGGTCCGCAGCTGTCAAACCCTGTCCTGGAAGGGTGGGGCGGACTCACCCTCCGCTGGAGCAGGGGTTTCAGCAGGGGTCTCGGCAGGGGTCTCGGCAGGGGTCTCAGCAGGGGTCTCAGTAGGGGTTTCTTCTACCGGGGCGTCTTCTGCAGTGGATGACGAAACAGAAGGCTGATGAGAGCCAGGATGGCTACCAGCCCACCTGCCCGACCTTCCTCTCCTCCCCACCAGCTCCCAGGGCCCGCGGTGGAGCTTGGAGGCTGAAGAGGCCCTCGGCGGTGCCTTCCCGCCCATGTTTCGCTCATCCCGCAGGCTGGACCCTGCCAGGGACACCGCGCTCCTCCCGACCTGCCTCTGGCTTTCCAGGGTTCCCTGAGGTTCCTGTCTGGGTCTGGCCAAGGTTTGCGGTCAGGGAGGACAGTGTGGGGGCCTGCGACCCGCTGGAGTGAGTTCCTGGTGGTGCCCTGCCCTGCTTCCCTCCATTCTTCCAACCCCACGAGTAGAGTGTGGTGTGTACTCTGCTCCTGGGTGGAGGCCCAGGGCATGGCGAACGCTCATGTCCTCTACCCCGAAAGTAATTACTGGCGCGATGGGCGGGGAGGAAAAAAGCCCAGCTGGGTAGGGTAGGGGCGAATGGGACCTGAGCACATGCATAAAAAAGATGTTGGCTACACTGAGATTTAACAGATGGAAAAATAATGAGCGGCCAGGTGTCCTTCAGAGTTGGTTGGGGGAAGGACTGGAGCAAGAAGGGAGGTTGAAAAGTTCAAGGGGCTGCAGGGCCCTCCTGGGCCAGGTCGTGCTAGTGTGCCCTGAGAATAGGGCTCTGTCCATAGGCGGGGGCGCGCTGCTGGGCTAGCGGAGGAGGGCTGCCTGGTAAGTCACCCCGCCTCTTGCCTTGGACGCTTGTGCAGGGGGCACCTTGCCCAGTGTGTGCTGTGGCCCAGGGGTGCCTCAGGAAAGCAGAGTGGCTGGAGCAGGGGGGTGGAGAAAGGGTGCTGGAGCGCTGAGCCCCTCAAGCAGCCTGGGGCCAGGGGGGGCTCCTGGTTCCCTGCCCAAGAGGCCATGCATGGAGAACTGGGATCCAGAGTGACTTGCAGAGACAGGAAAGCCAGGACGGAACCGGGGGAGAAGGAGAGAGCTGAAGGCAGGAGCGCGAGGACTCTGGTGGGGTGCAGGGGGAGGGCCATACTCACGGGCACAGACCAGGGCCCCGGCCAGGGCAGTCAGGAAGAGGAGAGCGATGAGTTTCATGCTGCGGGATGAGGGTGACACAGCCACAGAATCCGCAGAGGTTCCTGGGACTATGGGTGCTGGAGTTGTTGAGCCCTTTTAAGGGTGTTGCTGGCCAATAGGAGGGGAGCTTGGAGGGGTGTGACTTCCTCACCCTTTCCCCCGTCTTCCTCAGAACTGGCACCTGCTAAATCAACACGGGCTCAGGGGACAGGTTGATGGCTTGTGTCCTCACAGGCAGGTCATCGGTAGGAGCCTCTCTAGCTTCCAGCCATCCGCTTCCTAACTCCCTCCATCCTGCCTCACTCCACCTGCCCTCTGGGCTCTCAGGGACTGGAGCATGTTCCAAGTGAGGGAGAGTCTAGGGTGGGTCTGTTGCGGACTGTTGAGGCTGGGGCCCACCTCCTGCCATGGTCCACATGGTGCTCAGGTGGGGTGTGAGCGTTTCCCCAGACTGAGGGAGTCTCCTGGCTCAGGAGGTGGGATGCCACCTCCTTTTCTCTCTTTTCCTGGGAGGCCCTGGCCAGAATGTTTGAAGTCCCTGGCTGCCTTCTCCTCTTGAGGGGACAGGGTTGAAGGCACAGGTGCCATTGCTGGAACTTTCAGCTTTTTGAAGATACCTAACCCCTAGGAGGGGCTCCCCAGCCCCACATAGGCCCCTCCCAGGTCTCATCCATGGGGCATTTTGGGCATAAGTCTGCCTTGGATTTTCCAAGGCCTCTTTTTTTTTTTTTTAAAGATATATTTATTTATTTGAAAGAGTTACAGAGAGAGGTAGAGGCAGAGGGAGAGAGAGAGAGGTCTTCCACCCGCTGGTTCACTCCCCAAATGGCCGCAATGACCAGGGATGGAACTGTGCCGATCTGAAGCCAGAAGCCAGGAGCTTGGGTCCCTGAGCTCACAAGCACTTGGGCCATGCTCCGCTGCTTTCTTGGGGAGCTGGATCGGAAGTGGAGCAGCCAGGACTTGAACCTGTGCCCATATGGGATGCTGGCGCTAAAGTCTAGAGCTTTAACCCACTGTGCCACAGCACTGCGCCCCCCTGCCCCGGGCTCTTTGAGGAGTAGATGAAACAACAGAAGTGAAAGTTTGCAGGGTTGCAGTGGGACAGTGTGTTCCTGTTCTGAGCCTTGCTTCAGTGTATGTGTCTGGGCTTTACCCAGAGAGAGCTTTCTGCTCAGCCCTGGCTGACACCGAACTGAATTAAAAAAATTATTTGACAGGCAGAGAGAGAAAGAGAGAGAGAGAGTGTGTGTATACGTGTTCCCATCTACTGGCCCATCCCTAAACTCCCACCATGGCCAGGCTGGGCCAAGGTCAAAGCCAGGAGCTAGGACTCCATCCAGGTCTCCAGCATGGGTGACAGGCATCCGGCTGTGTGTGTGAGTCACGACTGCTGCCTCCCCTGTCTGCATTAGCAGGAAGCTGGAGTTGGGAGCTAAACCCAGGCACTCTGACACGGGATGTGAGCATCTTACCCAGTGTCCACCCCTGCTGAACTCTTCAAGAATCCCCCCACGACTCCCCCTCCTCCCTCCTGGGGCTGCAGAAGTCCTGTTGGCCACCTCACCCAGCCTGAAGGGTTGCCAGATTCCCTTCAACGGCTTGGGAGCTGGCCTGAGAAAGGGAGGGAGGGAGGACCCTGAGGAGGACGGACGGAGACGGTGGAGCTGCTCGCCAGCAAGGAGGCAGAGCTGAAGCTGTGATACCCTGGGTTCTAAAACTAATGCTGGGCTGGGGTCCAGGGCAGCCACCCACTTCCCCTGCCGTCCCGCACTGCTGCTTCCCAGGGGATCCTCTGATTGTGACGTTAGTCTGTCTGCACCTGTGTCTGTCCTCAGAGAAGTCACTTTCTCTTTCTCAACCTTGGATTCTCCCTCTGGAGGATAGGCCCCCCGGCCCCTGCCCCCAGCCCCTGCCCCCAGCCCCCATTCTCCCCTTCCCGGGGTGGTTGTGAAACAAACTTGTCTCCAGTCAGCAGATGTTTCTTGAGTGCTGTCTGTGCTGCCCACCGCCCCGAGACTCACACGTGAATAAAACATCATCCTGGGGCTCAAGGAGCCTCCATTGTGACGAGGGCTTGGATTAGCAAAGGAAAAAAAATTATGAAGATTCAGGCTGATAACCCCCTTCTGGGGCTGCAGGCGTCACAGGTGTTTCGGGATGCTGCATTTTTTCTAATTTTAGAAGGTAGTGGGGAGCATGTCACGGGGTCGCCCCGTTGTCGAATGCATTGCTGTTTCTGTGAGTGTGCAAAGTGAGCTAAGACTATAAATAGCAGATGTCTCTTTGAGTCAAGTTTTGTTACCTCATGAGCTCAGATTTTTTTCCACCAAATGATTTGTGCAAGGGCTTTTAGCTTTCAGAGTTTTCTGGATTTCAGAACTACACAGCGAGGAAGTATTAGGGTGATGGAGGGGACAGGCACTGGCAACTCTGGAGACACGGGGCGAACTTTGCTGTTTCCGTTTGGGGTAGACTGAGTGGTTTGGGGGACCGATCAACCACTCGCATCAGTTCTTGGTCTGAAGTATGTGCATAGCAATCCAGAGCCGTCCTGAACATGGAGGGAGCAGTGAAGAGCGGGTCTACGTCTGAGCTCTCCAACGCTGGTTGGAATCCTGCCTTCAAGGGGGCAGAGAGGTGGAAATGGCAGAGCCTTGCCCTTGAACTCAGGGGCTCCGTTAGGATTAAGGTTGAGCTGAAGGATTTGATGCTGGGGGTTTATTTATCTGCCACATAGTGGTTAGCGGGTACAGAAGAGAGGTGCATTGGGTCAGTTGTAGAGAGGACTCTGCAGCCACTGCCTTGCATGCACGTGTGTGCATGTGTGTGTGTGTGCATGTGCACTGTAGAAGGAGAAGCTGTTCTCTAGGAGCTTCTATGAGCACATTAAGAAAGTCAACAGCAGCAAAGGATGCTATTTGCACAAGGCTTTTCTAAGAGGAAAGCACAACATTGACATCCACACTAGAACTGTCACGGGGCGGGGGTGATTCCAAATATCCTCACTTGGCCTTTTCCTCTCCTAATACCACACCTAGCCCCAGGAGTTAAAGGCGAAAGTGTTTACCTATGAGGCGATGATGTGGAAAAAGTTTTATTTTATTTTCAGTTAAACACAATAATTGTATGGGAGTACTTAAAAAAATTCATGGAAAATGGAATTAAGAACATGAACTTATTTTAGGCAAAGCATTTTTTGACTGCCTAATTGTATTTCTTTTTTTTAAGATTTATTTATTTATTTGAAAGGCAGAGTTACAGAGAAGCAGAGGCAGAGAGAGAGAGAGAGAGAGAGAGAGAGAGAGAGAGAGACAGAGGTCTTCTGTTGTACCTGAGCAAGTGCAAACAAAGGAGTACCACACATTGATAAAATTTTATGGTCCTTTATTGTTGGTGGTGGAGAGTGGGCTCATGCCCTAAAGATCTCTTGACCCCGAAGCCCAAAGTAACAGGGTTTATAAAGGCAAAAACTGCAAAATAGGGAGGGGAATACATGGTTGCTAGGATTGGGGAGGAATACATAGTTACCAGGGTCAAGCTGACCTAAAACCTATGTGAAACTAATATCAATTATAATCTTGGCAATACCAGTTACAGTCTTAACAATTTCAATTATAATCTTGACATTAATCCAGGTATTTGTTTTAATCATATGTAGGACTTAGACAAATTACATTTTTATCGTTAATCCAGGTGCAGCCTATCCACTTCCAAGCTTGAGTGATCATGCTAGGGGATTTCTGTGCTCTGCCAAGTGTGATGTAGTGGACTGCTGTTGTTCAACTGTTTTAGATCATAGTTTCAGAGCAGAGTCTCATGGTGGGGGGGGTACCTTCCAAGAATGGAGTCTCAGGTTTTCCAAAATGGAGTCCCTACTGTCAAGGTGTTACTTCACTTCAATCCGATGGTTCACTCCCCAGATGGCTGCAATGGCTGGAGCTGTGCCAATCTGAAGCCAGGAGCCAGCAGCTTCTTCCTGGTCTCCCACGTAGGTACAGGGGCCCAAGGACTTGGGGCATCTTCTACTGCTTTCCCAGGCCACAGCAGAGAGCTGGATTGGAGGTGGAGCAGCCAGGACTTGAACTGGCACCCATATGGGATGCCGGCACCTCAGACTGGGGCTTCAACCTGCTGTGCCACAGCGCTGACCACAAAATTGTATTTCACATATGGGAAATAACGCATTATGAAAACACTATGCATGGATTTAAAAAACTTTTTGTGTCAAAACAATTCATAGTTTTAATTCTGTCCCCCCCCCGCCATGAGCCTTTTGAAGTACCCTGGGATGTATTTGTGGGTGGACAATATGATGGTTCAATGCATGTATAGATTGTTGAGACATTTGTTCTATGGAATATTTTCATGACTGTATAGCAGGTGTTACCCCAGATCTTAGTGCCTGGGAGAGAACTGGGTCCATACTGGTACATGAAAGCCCAGAGACAGACTCCATGTTGGGGTGAGGGGTTGTCCCGTGCCATGTAGCCGACTTGTATGGTGACTGCCAGCTCCCCACCCTGCGTCTTGTGTCAGGTGCCTCCCGCTCCTCCCTGCCTCAGCTCCGGTCTCTGCTCACCCTCACCTGGTCTAGAGGAAGGACCTCTGTGGGCTGCGTCCCTGGGCTCCTTTGGCCTTTGGCTTCTGGTTGAGTTTGGCCAACAAGAGACATAGGAGGGAGATGAGAGGAGGGGAAGAGACTTGGGCAAGGCATTTGTCCCCGTGTCCCCTCCCTGCTGGGCCTTGTCTGCTGGGGTGACTGCTGGGGTGGCTCCCAGAGAGGCCCCCTTCTTGGTATCCTGGACTTGTGGGATCCGCTGTGTGTGGGCGTGGATTGAATGGGGAGATTGGGTTCCAGCAAACAGCGGACGCAGAGTGATGGGAGGCTCCCTGCTGAGGGCAGGTCATGGAAGGCTCTTGTCTTACACATGAGCTCCCTCTGGATCTTCTCAGCTCGCTCGCCCAGCTGAAGGCCCTGTGGAGAGGCCCACGAGGTGTGGAACTGACCCCAGGGAGAACCAGTGTAGTATCAGGTGGTGATGTCAGTTTGGATCT